AAGGATTGTCGTATTTATCACAGTTTTCTCACCATGGGTGGAAGGGACATTGACAACTTTTGACTCCGCCGCCCGAGGTGCCATTTTGGAGACTTTTTTCTTCAGAGTCAACGACTTAATTTTCCGTTCATAAGATGGGAAATCTTCTTTGTAAGAGTTAATGGACCCACAGTTCAATGCGATGGGCTTCTCAGCGGAGATTGCCAACTCCATATTTTCATCGCTGGAAACTGCAGACCGCGGGAGCAGCTAATTGGGGACGGTGGTGACACCTTTTTCGTTTTATTGTTGTATACAGCTGTTCTGAGCAATGTAATTTTACTTCTTGGAATTGCAGCTTAGAGTAATTGATTTGCAAGAGCTGATTGATTTTTTTAACTTCAAACGTTTTAATTTCAGCCGGAGATACCAAATTTTATTGAGGAGTGGTTATATCCGGGGGTTCTGGCTTGTCTACATTGTTATTCATTCCTGCCATATCTTTAACTGGAGTTTTTTAAAACCGAAAGTTTTATGTTCACTAAAAAATGCCACACCTTCAAACTGTTCCTCCTCAATCGTAATATCGCCGATAATAGAAATTTTTTTTAAATAAAATTTTTTCAGCAGAAGAAATATGAAATGTTTTGACGGATAATTCAAATTTGATTTTAAATAAAAATTTTTCCAGCACAAGAAAATTAAAACGTTCTGTAAGGAAAAATGAATGTTGATTAAAAAAAATATATACACTATTAATTTCACATTATTTTCAATGAAAATCAAAATCCCTGGTCGGTTTTGCTGAATGCCTCGAGAAGACTCCTAGCAGGAACGTGTGTTGTCCTGGGACTCCTTCACGGATACTCAATGGAAAGAAAAATTTAATAAATGATGAATTGGCCAGGTTTATAAACAATAAATTGACTTAATAAGCCAAGCGAACAAACAGAACATTGGCCGAATGAGCCTGGTGAAAAATTTTATATAAATATTGGCTGAATGAGCCAGGTTTGGTAGAATTTACTAGTAGGCTGAATTAGCCAGTGAAATTGTCACTTCGTAAGTAAAATCACAAGTCCTCTATCGTATGAAATTCGTGTTCTTTTTAACCGAATGTGCCGGAACTTTTTGGTGTAGCGTTCTAATAGATTTGCCGTCGATCTTTCTGCTGTAAACTTTTTTGTGATATTTGTGTTTTTCGCGTATTTCTTGCATTTTTCGTGTATTTCGTGTTTCCATTGAAAATATAAAAATTAAAAACGTAATAATTGTTTTGAAAAAACATAAAATAAGTGATAAATATTTTTAAGAAGTATTTATCTATTTTTAAAAAATATTTTTTTAAGTGAGGCAGAAGTGAATAGTGAATGAATGAGGTATAATTCCAGTGTTTTCATAAAGCCGGTTCCAGTGTGTAATTTATTTTCGGTTGTGATTATGCTTATATTATGATATATTTATGAAAGAATTATATTGAATATTTCTCTCCATGTGGATAATTAATAAATTCTAATTACTGCAGTAACTTTCCAATTAAAATAATATACAAAATAACTACAACTGATGTGTTTTATTTGTTGTAACAAAAAACGTAAACAGTGAGCGTTTATTTGTCGCATGTTTATTTATTAGATCTATGTTTGTTAAATAAATTTGTTATTTATTATATTGTAAATTTTCAGTATATTTCAAATTTATAATAAGTAAATAAAAAAAAATTCATTATTTTTCTTTAAATGTTTTAAGTTGCATTTCCACATTTTTCTCTTCAGGCTTTACAAGTTGAGTATCAATGCCCGCTCGTTAAACCAGAGGATCGCAGGTAATGTCAATAAAATTTGTAGCTAAATATATTTTAACTAATTTCATATTTTTCAGAAAATTTGGGTCGTTTAACTCGGGAAAGTATTTTTTACTATCGCGTCTCTATGTGTGGTGGTGGTACGCTTGTAATTATCAAGGAAGACAATGTTCCTACATTGAAATGGCCGTTTGGACGTATTTCAAAGGCATATAAAGGGGACGACGGTCTTGTTCGCGTAGTTGATGTTAAAATGGCGTCAGAAATTCTACGACACCCTTTGACAAGACTAGCGTCTCTGTTTCCATCCGGTGACCAACCTCCTGATTATGATGAACATCTTTCAAAAAGTTGTACAAAGGCGAAATCTACAATGAGACTGAAATCGTTATACGTTTGTGTACAGAATGGCAAACACATATAGCATGCACTTATCTCTACATTCATTTTAAACATGTATGAGATGAGTTACTGCAAGACCAAACATTATTAGATAAGAACCGAAACAAACGAGCTGCAATTAATATAGTAGGAAATATTGCACACTTGACGTATATTCCCTCTAAAGTGCGTTTGAACAGCATTCACCATCATACCATAAGCTACTTGGCGTTGTTAATTTCAATAACAATAATAATAATCGTTACTTGGAAAATCCAACATAAAACATGTCAGAAACATACAATAAGCGTTAATACAACAAGAGGATATGATATGCTGAATAAAAAATTACATCAAGAAGATTTCACGGCGACCACAACCTAGGACAAGTTGAGTTGACACTAAACGGCGGGAAGAATGTTTAGGTTTATTGTTTATGTTTATATTTATAATATAACTTAATAATTATGTTATTTACTTTGTAATGGGATATCAATAGTTGACCTTACTCAATGTTAAGGCCGCCTTTGATGACTATTGCATTCATATTCTTTTAAACACTTATGTTCCGATGAGCTAACCATTGCATACTTCTGCCACTAATAATTTGCCACTTTAAATTCGGGTAAGAGCTCATGTGGTATCAAACATATTGAGACCACATAAATCGGAACACATGTGAATATGAGACACATGACAAACAAATGCACAGTAAGTACTTACTATGCATTTCTTGTCTTAAGTAATGTGTCATTAATAAATAGGAAATATATAAAAATAAAGAGTTTAGAAGTACATAGAAATAGCCAATTAGAATTAAAAATATATTTTTATATATATATTTATATATATTTTTATATCTATTGTAAAACTTAGGATAAATTTTAGAGACTAGTCTAGTGTAGAACGTGATCTGGTAAAGATCTAAATATTGTAAAAAGAAAAACAATAAATAAAATAAAATGAAGTACTCATATACTAAAAACAATTAATGTGTTTTCAAATTCCAAACAAAGACAATACAAATCCCAATACAACTTACGTGTATTTACTTTTCTGGACCAATACTGCGACCAGTCATTGACCAACGAAAAGTGCAATTCTGTATTATCAGCTTTTCATGTTGGTCAGTGCACTGGAGAAAGTGTGTCATATTTTGGATTATAATTATGTCAACACACCGTGAGCAATTTTATTGTTTATAAACGAAATTGTTTATATTAATATTGTTTATAAACAGGGTAAATAATTTTACTAAAGTTCAAAAATACAATACAAATCAATCGTAACTGTTATCTTATCGATTAGTTTGGGTTTGAAGTGCTCAAACTAATTAATATAAAAAATACAACAAGTTTGGGTTCTAAGTGCTCAAGCTACTGCACACACAAAATATCCTACCGAGCTCATACAGATTAAGGATCTGGGTTCGCACCAAGTAGCGTACAATTGGTTTTGGATGAAATAAGTTAATAGCCACTATATGTTGTTTTGACAAAATGTAAACAAACGTGCATTCAGTGCATGTCAACACAAAGAAATTTTATAGATTTTCTTGAAATTTCGCATTCAACTTTATTCAAAAACCGAAATTTATTTACTGCAATAAAAGACGTTTTTGCACATTTTTTAGTATTTGTTAAAAATAAATATAATAAATACATACAATTTTAATGGGACACCCTACATCCGGGGGCCTGAAAGCATTGCTTCCAGTTGGTTCCCTGTAGTTACGCCATTGTATGGTATATCACATAAAAAATCAAATATACAATTTATGTATATATATTTTGTATATCTATTACATCTACATTAGATATATGTAGATATTAATTTTTCAGTACGTTTCTTTACAGCTCAACTTTTGTTTGTGTTCATTATACATATGAAACATATAATAAATAAATACAATTTTGCTAATATCTCTTGTTGAAATAGACTGCATTCAACATTTTTTGCCTTAAATGTTTGATTTATAATGAGATCATTAATATGAAACCTGTTTGTATGGTAAATTATCATTGTTAAGTTTAACAAACCTAACATATTTTAGCTCGCTTGTAGTTACACTTATGCAGCAAATAAATATTGTAAATATTAAATACATTGTTTACGTTTATAAGTTCAATAGCTTCACATATTGTATTTATGCTTATGCAGCAATATGTGAAATTTAAATTATTATTTTAGTTATCAATAATTGTAAATATTATTATGCTTAGTAAGTAATTTTATACTACATATATAAGGTAACAATATTGATAATAAATTTTGAGAGCGAAAACAATCGTCTTTCCTTCAAAAACAAAATTTGGTTATTGGTAGATGTGCCTTTTAACCACTGTAGCAATAAATAAAAATTATTTACTTACTTGGCTAGCGGTTTATGTGCCTGCAAGCCTTTCGTCATAAATACCTGATTATTGGTTTATGTGCCTAATAGTCAGTGTAACGAAGTAAGAAAATACATTATTTGATACCACCTCAGATTACGTGGTATTACATTGGTGACCCCGACGTGATTGGCAAGAGCAACTCAGTGTGAGCCAGCAGCGTTTACAAAAACCTTCATTGAAAACAACTTTTTTCAACGGAAATACAATAACCATGGATCCAAAATCAATATCCACTTTAACTGACCAGCAGGATTCAATTGGTTCAGAGATCGACAGAATCATTCGCAACTTCAAGAAGGACTCACCCAGCAGGAAAACACGTCAATATCTCGAAGATCGTAAAACAACTTTAGAACAGTTATTAGCTGACTAATGATGAGCAACTACAACAAGCCGATGTACTAGCAAGAACATCGGAATATTTCACACAAGATTACGGCATGGTAATCATAAATTTGGGTAACAAATATATCACCACAATAACTCAAGAGCTGGAAGCATTACCCATTAAGGCTCAACCATCAACAATAAAGGGGTTGGACCTTCAGATAAATAATGATATTGAAGCTCCTGAAATAGTATTACCTACTGGTGGTCAAGAGAATGAAATTATTCAGGCATTAGTCAACAGACGAAATGCAGTATGTAAATCAATCAATCGTCTCATCCACAATGTGAGACAAGATAACCAGCAACAGGTACCACAATATTTTGCAGTAAAATTAGCTACGCTTACCAAGTTATGGGATCAGGCTGAAGGTTTAAATTTTACTATTCAGGAACGGCAAGACAACCCTCCTGATTGCAATTATTATCTAGCACTGGAACAGTTGGTGCAAGATACAATGGTGGAATGGACTAGTAAGTCGACCAAGATTGAGACATCAATTAGGTCAACTTATCAACCATCGGCTACTTTGCCAACAATATCTCTTCCAAAGTTCAGTGGAGATTATTTGAGTTGGCGACAATTCAGTGATCTGTTTGCACAACTGATACACAATCAAAGAATATCAGACTCATAGAAACTCTAGTATTTGAAAACCAATATTCAAGGCGAAGCTGAAGCACTCATCAAGCATTTGCAAATATCAGATGCAAATTATGAGACGGCATGGCAATTACTACAAAGTAGATATGAGAATAAAAGAGTTCTAGTATCAGCAGTTTTGCAACGTTTGACAGCTCAAAACTCTTTATATGACCATCCAACAGTCCAAGCCATCCAAAATATGAATGACACAACAAAGGAAAGTCTATGTGAACTTCATAATTTAAATATTGAAACATCAACTTGGGATCCAATTTTAGTACACATACTACTAAAAAAGTTGGATAAAAATACACATTGCAGTTTTGAACAAACTCTTACTAACCCAAGGGAGATGCCCACAATAAAACAATTCTTAGAATTTTTAGAATTGAAATTTCAGTCATTTGAGGCTATAGGTCTACGAGACAATGCAGTATATAAACCCAACAAAAGGATAGCCGTAACTATGGTTTGTTCAGATCTATGTAAAGTTTGTAATACAGATAAACATCCGATCTACTATTGCAAAAAATTCATTGAAATGACTCCTCCTGAACGATTAAATTGGATTCAACGACAAAAACTATATGTGAATTGTTTCAAATCCGATCATAAAGCAAAGGTTTGTGAAGCTGGATCATGTAAAAAATGTGCCAAGAAGCATAACACTTTGCTTCATTTAGAGCAACAGTCACCTAAAACTTCAAGGGCACCAGCAACAAACACAAAGTCAACCACAACATTGATCAACGCTAATGAATCGCCATCCATAACAGCAACAACTAATGCAAAGGGTACTCGTAATTACGTTCTGCTAGCCACAGCAAAGGTGCGCATTATTGCAAACAATGGACGAACGTGTGATGTTCGTGCCATACTCGACTCAGGTTCTCAAGTGAACCTAGTAACCCAAAGAGTAATCAACAAGTTATCTTTAATTACCACAAATTCAAATCTATCGATCGAAGGTATTGGCCGTCAATTCGGGAACTCAAAATCTCGCGTAAATGTTGAACTGCAGGCTACTAATGGAAGCTTCAGGACGAGACTAGAGGCATTTGTATTGCCACAAATAATATCAGCACAACCGTCACGAGACCTAGATATCTCGGATTGGCAGATCCCACAGAATGTAGAATTAGCAGACCCCAGCTTTAACAGATCTGGAAGAATTGACATGCTAATTGGTGCTGAATTCTATCATACTCTACTTCAACCAGAACAATTGATAATAGGAAAAAATTCGCCACTGTTACAAAATTCGGTTCTAGGTTGGTTGGTGGTTGGTAAGACTAAAACTACAACAGATATTAAACCAACATGCGCTATTACTACAGGAGAAGTTGGTGAAATGTCAGAAATGATAGAACGATTTTGGAAGTTAGATAACCTTGAGACTGCAGAAAGGGTTTTGACTTTATCTGAGAAATGGTGTGAAAATCACTTTACAAATCATGTAAAGACAGGTCACGATGGTCGTTTCATTGTACGCTTACCTTTCCGCGATGATCCCACAACACTTGGTAGATCGCGTGAGATAGCATTCAATCGATTTTGTTCTCTGGAAAGGAAGTTACAAAGGGACCCAAATTTATACAAGGAGTACATAAAGTTCATGGATGACTACGAGTCATTAGGTCACATGGAAAAAGTTTGCCCGAAAGATGTCAAAGAAGCACAATATTTCATTCCTCATCATTGTGTCTTGAAACCTGACAGCACTACAACCAAATTGAGAGTTGTCTTTGATGCATCAGCAAAAACATCAAGCGGTTTAGCACTAAACGATATTTTGCACAAAGGTCCAACAGTGCAAAGTGATCTTTTTTCAATACTGTTGCGTTTTAGAATACACCGGTTTGTATTTACGGCTGATATTGAGAAAATGTACCGGCAAATTCAAGTACATGATGAAGATACAGCACAGCAGCGATAATCTGGAGAAAAAGTGCTGATGATAGTATACATACGGTTACATATGGAACGAAGTCAGCCCCTTATCTTGCAACAAAATGTCTTCAACACCTTGCGAAACATAATATGACCAACTATCCGCTTGGAGCACCTGCATTACTTAATGATTTTTATGTAGATGACTGTTTAAGCGGAACTAACAGCATCATTACCGCCTTAGACACTCAACAACAACTTACGGAACTGCTCAGTAAATCAGGATTTAAGCTGAGAAAATGGTGCTCAAATAATACACGACTCCTACAAAACATTCCGATAGAAGACCAAGAAATCAACCTTGATTTAGATGACTCAGCCATAAAGCCAACAAAACCATTAGGCATTATTTGGCTCCCGAAATCAGACGAATTTTGCGGTAATGCAGAGATGTCATCAGAGCAACCTATCACGAAGCGGATTGTGGCATCGGACTTAGCTCGAATTTTTGATCCTTTGGGAATTTTTGGCCCCATTACTGTAACAGCTAAAATATTCATGCAGGAATTGTGGCAACAAAACTATTCCTGGGATGCGGAACTGTTAACTCAGGCTCAGCTAGAATGGAAGCGTTTTAGAAATGACTTACAAACATTAAATACTGTGAAAGTACCCAGACATATTTTTAATTCGACGGTTCCCTGTTCGATTCAATTACACGTGTTTACGGATGCATCAGAGAAGGCATATGGAGCAGCTATATACGTGCGAGCAATATATAATGATAAGACAATAACATCGAGACTATTGTGCGCCAAATCTAGAATAGCACCATTAAAGAAACAGACACTTCCACGACTAGAACTCTGCGCAGCATTGCTGGGAGTCGAATTAGCAGAAAGAGTTAAACAAGATTTAAAGTATCAAAACGTGCCAACCTACTTTTGGTCCGATTCCAAAATTGTTTTGTCATGGATAATATCTTCATCTGCCTCATTGCACACATTCGTAGCAAATCGTATTAGCAAAATTCAAGAGATGTCACATGCTGATCAATGGCATCATGTGGCATCAAAGGATAATCCTGCTGACATCATTTCCAGAGGAATAAAGGTTAAAATGTTCAATTATTCACATATATGGTTTTTTGGTCCACTCTTTCTTCATGGAAGCAACGAATTTTGGCAACAGCCAAACCCAAAGGCATTTAACATCTCAACTGATATCGAAAGACGACAAGGACATACAGTTAACATTATCATTCAAACGACTGGTTCTGATCACATGATAAATCAAATTGATCATCGAAACTCATTCAGATACCTCCAAAGAACAATTGCTTATGTTCGCCGTGTATTTCATCGCACACAATCACCAACAAAAACACTTTCTCCAAAGGAATTACGAGATGCATTAGTCTTCATAATTAAAACTATTCAGGGCTCAGAATTTGCAAAGGAAATCTCTGACTTAAAACAATGTAAAGCAATCAACAGTTCGAGTCAACTAAATACTTTAGCACCGTTCATTGACGAACAAGGTGTACTTCGTGTTGGAGGAAGGCTTGAAGCATCAACATTGCCATATGATGCTAAACACCCAATGGTAATTCCTTACAATCACTCAATAGTGAAATTGATGTTCAAAATGAAACATGAAGAAAATTCCCATTGTGCTCCACAATTATTGCTAAGCATAATGAGACAAAACTTCTGGCCGATTAAAGGAAAGATTATGGCGCGAAACATTGTTCACAGCTGTGTCATCTGTTCAAAGGCAAAACCAAAACTGATGGACCAACTCATGGGCAACTTACCGACTGATCGAGTTACTCTGACTAAACCATTTTTTACCACAGGAGTTGATTACTGTGGTCCGATATGGATTCATTATAAAATTAGAGGAAAAAGGCCAACAAAGGCATATTTAGCAGTATTTTGCTGTTTCGCGACTAAGGCTGTTCACCTAGAAGTGGTGAGTGACCTGACAACAGAGGCATTCATAGCCGCTATTTAACGTTTTATCAGCAGAAGAGGAAGATGCCAAACAATTTATAGTGACAATGCGACTAACTTTGTTGGGGCGAGAAACCAACTACAAGAGCTCCACTCAACCATTTATTCAGAAAATGGTAAAGAAAAGATCATTAAGACCAGTAGTAACAAGGGAATTGACTTCAAATTCATTACACCAACAGCTCCTCATTTTGGAGGACTCTGGGAAGCTGCCGTCAGGTCAGCTAAACATTTAATGATTAAAGGAATTTTGAACGCTTCATTGACTTCCAAATGATCCAAATGATCTAACAGCGCTTACACCAGGACATTTTCTCATAGGCGAACCACCTACCACTAATGTGGATCCCTATCAAAAGGAGAGCCGAATGAGTTTATTATCACGATGGCGTCTAGTTTCTGAACTCAAACAAGAATTCTGGAGAAGATGGTCAAAGGAATATCTCAATGAACTCCAATCAAGGCACAAATGGAAACAACAAAAGGCAAATCTATGCCAAGGTGATTTAGTCATTATTAAAGATGATAATCTACCCATGTACAAATGGCCTCTTGGCAGGGTGCAACAGGTGTATGAAGGAGAAGATGGCTTGGTCCGTATAGCTGACATAAAAACAGCCAATGGGATTTTTAAACGACCATTACGATCATTGGCCCCCCTACCCACTGAAGGCAGCATTAATCAAAATCCAACAAAACAAAATTCTACTGTCACACAAACAAGACGAACGAATGAACCTGGTGAAGCGTTGCCAAAGCGTCGAAAGATATATGATGGCACATCTTTAATGATGACCATACTTGTGAAAATATTGATGATGCCATTAATACTTTCGAAACCCATTGAAGAAATTTCATTTCCAAACAAACGCGGAATATATTTTGAAGGAATTGGCACCGTAAATCAAATCATTGGAAAATGGAAAATTATCACTTACTTTGAGTTCGTGCCTATTCGAAAGGAGATCGAAAGGTTTCAAAATGGCACAGCAGCACTTCAGCAATTGTGCCCATTGTTACAACAACAAGAAAGCTGTTATGAGCTCGTCCGCCAATTCAATAATACTAACATAGAATTACGAACTGAAACGAAGGTTATGACGAGACACCGATCAGCCAGAGGAGCCATCAATATAGTTGGAAATATTGCTAACAATTATTTGGTGTTTTAGATTCAGAATATGCTGAAACAATTTCTAAAACTCTAACTCAAATCAGCAATAATGGAGATGTACTATCAAAAATGATCAAAAATCAGACCACAGTCATGGACTCAACGCTAAATATATTCAGCAAAACTACAGAAGCCATTGCAGTTAAAATGAATCAACTACAAGATGAGACAAACAAAATAGTAGATTACACTAATCATAATACTAAACGTATTAACCACCTAGAGATCTATACATCACTGGTAACCCAACTTACATACATGGATGGCACACGCATTAATAAAAATTGAAGCTGCGATATTTGATGTCTTAACTGATACTCAGCATGGCAGAATTAATTCTCTTTTGATGTCTCCACAACAACTTCACTTCGTCTTCCATTTAATCAAGAGGACGTTATTCATTTATACACGTTGATGTCTTCACAAAAGTGAATCACACAAGATCATTTGATAGTTGTCTTACAACTGCCATTAACCGATCATGAGAATTTCGATTTATTCAATCTCGTCCCAATTCCTGCAACAGTCAACAATACAATGATGACAATAGTTCCAGAAGCTTCATTTTTAGCTGCCACGCCGCAGACCAATATTTTGCCTTAAGTCGTGAACAGTATAAGGAGTGTATGACTTTCAAGCAACCAGAAAACAAACTACTCTGTTCGGATAAACAATCAAAATATAACATCGGCTCACAGGCTTACGCTTGCGAATTTAACCTATTAAAAAACATATCTGACAATACGTGTAATGTGCAGGAAACAAAATCGAACATTATTTGGAGTCCCCTGTATCATGCGAACCAATGGATATTCGGGTCAAAAAACAATACAACAGTTACGGCCGTCTGTAAGGGCATCACGACTCATTTAGAACTACAAGGTGCAACACTTCTGAAATTACAAGACGACTGTGTACTCAAACACCAAACGTCTACAATTCAGACACATCAAACGCTTACCGATACCATGTATGAATCTTACATTGCATTTGGTGAGATACCTGTCATTAATAACTCAGAATTATGGTCAAATTTTAAAGGAAGTTCATTGAATCTCAGCAATGAACTTGAACAGTTAAAGCTACTTCACAATACTCTGAAAGATGAAAAATTCGCTGAATTACCACACAAACTACAGACGGACAGCTTGCACCACTACGCAATTAATTCCACAACCCTAATTCTTGTCGTTGGAGCCATCATATGGATGATATGGAAAATAAAGCAGGTAAAGCGTCCAGAAGTCAATCAGCCAACACAAACTCTCACACCAAACGCGATGCCACGAACAAGATTTACTTTGGAGCCTGAAACAATTACATAGCTTCTCAAACTCTCATGATGCTATAAACTCTAAATTTTATATTTTTAAGTTTATATAATATTGTATAACTATGTATTGTTTAAAAATTATATGTGTATTTATATATCCACAAAATGTTGTAATTATTTTAAAATTTTGTCTGTTGATTTTTAAAAAAAAACACATAACGCATTGCAAATCAAATCAATCATTGCTCATAGATTCATTCTTGAATAACGTAATTCAAGCCGGGCAGAATGTTAAGTTTAACAAACCTAACATATTTTAGCTCGCTTGTAGTTACACTTATGCAGCAAATAAATATTGTAAATATTAAATACATTGTTTACGTTTATAAGTTCAATAGCTTCACATATTGTATTTATGCTTATGCAGCAATATGTGAAATTTAAATTATTATTTTAGTTATCAATAATTGTAAATATTATTATGCTTAGTAAGTAATTTTATACTATATAAGGTAACAATATTGATAATAAATTTTGAGAGCGAAAACAATCGTCTTTCCTTCAAAAACAAAATTTGGTTATTGGTAGATGTGCCTTTTAACCACTGTAGCAATAAATAAAAATTATTTACTTACTTGGCTAGCGGTTTATGTGCCTGCAAGCCTTTCGTCATAAATACCTGATTATTGGTTTATGTGCCTAATAGTCAGTGTAACGAAGTAAGAAAATACATTATTTGATACCACCTCAGATTACGTGGTATACAATCATAATTAGCGGCCTTAATAAAATCAGTAGAAAACGGTAAAAACTTTATAAAACCTAAAATAATAGCTAACAAAATAATTTTAGATTTTCAGCGCAATGAGGTATGTTTATATACTCACATTGAGATGAATCACTTTTACATGCCATTAATTTTTGTTGGGTTAGGTTCACATGATCATGGCAATAGTGGATTAAAGTAAGACCGATCTACTTTAGTAGCAGACATGATGTAGAATGCCAACACATTTTACTAAACTGGCGAGTAATTGAATCCTCATTCCAGAAACGTTTTATAATTTTTTAATCTGCGCAATTAAGAGTACTGGTCGGAGCTATCAAAGGGCACAACACAGCCACGTACCACACGTATATTATCACCTATCTAACATGTTAATCATATCAATGACTTGGACAAAGCACTTCCCCTTTTCTTGTCCAAAACTTGCAAGTGCTAGATTAAGATTTTTGGGTTATAATATCCTGAGCTTGAGCAATGTTCGTGTTCTCTCTCAACCCCATTTTCTTATATGGCGTTTACACTGGCCGAAAATGACTCGTTTTGAATGAACCATTTGAAAGTGTTTACATTCGTTGTACTTCATTTGTGCTCATTTCAGCTTATTTTTCAACTTGCCTGTTGATTTGATTTTGGGTCTGTGCCAAAGAAATGTTGCATGAAGGTTAAATATTCCTTTAAAACCTTACAATATAATCTGAAAACAATATTTTTAACTTCGATTAATTACTTTTTGGGAAGTAGAGGTTCTAAAAAGAGGCGCATCATTTTCAAGAAAATGCAACCACCAAACATTTGTTTAGATTTTTGTAAATATGTCAAATACAGCTTTCTCAAACTGTCAAAATGCCATGAAGAGCTTTTATTTAGGGTATATTCAATGTATTCCTTTGCATTTGAAACATATTTGGAACGCATGCGAACGTCGTTGGGAAGCATTTATACAGAATGTGATGGAGTGGCTCATTTGTGCTTGAAAGTTTATATGCAAGAATGAGCCATTCGCTTCTCATTTTCGATTTTTGACCAAAATGAGCCATTTTCGGCCAGTGTAAATGCCGTATCACATTGAATTTAACCAAATACAAAACAAAGCGCAATATTACAATTTTGTATAAGAATTTATGTTACGCGCAAAGTGACGCTATCTCTTTACATACTTCGGAGTGCACTGACGATATTTACTGATTATGCTATAGTCAAACACCACCACACTTATCTTAACCCGTTTCGTATCTCCGTGTGGTACACCACACGGCTAAATTTAAAAATTATTTAAAAATACATAACAGTAACTAATTCAATGTTTTTTATTTTTGTTACTTAGTTTGATATCTTAATAATATAAAAATACACATTTGGAATAGTTTTCATCTGTCCATGAGTTTACCTGGTCAGGAATAAAAAGTATCTGAAAAAATGAAAATTAAAATAAACAGAAAAAGAAACTAATATATTTATTACAGCATGTGTTTACAAAAGTTCAAATATAATTTTCGTAATTTTTGCCGGCGCCTTAGTAACAGTTATGTGCCATCAGACGCCGGCGAAAAAAGGCGTATGGTGAACCACACGCTGGGTCCCATAATACTATAATGATGAATCAACTTAATATAAATGTTTGTCGTTAGGAAACGAAATAAAATGAGAGTAATCTCTTTAATAAATATCATAGTCTTCTAATTTGCTTAAACTTGTGTTTTTTACTATGCATAATAGTAATAAGTCTATTTTGAAATTTGATTGCTGGTTGAGTTAGTCTGAATTTGATTGTTTTATATAGGACTTACATTTGTTCATGCTAAAAGTTTAGTCGTCAATTTTTACTGAAAATATGATTATGATGTCGTGCCTAAGATATCTAAGAAATAAGGAACTATTGCATATTATTCACAATTAGAGCGAAGAAGACTCATTAGTGCCAAGTGACACTCCGCTACCTATTGAATAATAATGTTTGTCTCCTGACAGTGTTGCTGGTGCATCGGACAATGAAATGATTGACATGATAAATATCAACAAACATTACATGCGACTTTAAAATTTTGTTCCCTTTTTTGAATCCCGCGTGTCTAATTGTGAGATGGTATTTAGGTACTATTGAAGTTGTATACGAATTAAATGCACAAGATTATGGTGGTCTTGTAGAAATGCCTGAGTCGCAACTATTCACATTGGAACTTGTAAAACCAATACGTTTCGGGTATATGCTATGAACCCTTTCTTTGGATAGTTAGTATATCTTCCAGCTTCTGTCAATGACAATTGGGAATCGGTGCATTTGTTGTAAAGGAATTATTCAGGCATTGTGAGTATCCATTGCAACATGCTGTATGATTCCGTTGAACCCATAGTAAATGTGCAACACTATAGCAGAGAGAAAAAACAGCCCCAAGTTGTCAACAACTATAATTATTTAAAATTTTCCATTAAAATAAATAATAATACATTGATCGTAGACAACGACGCAATTAAGCTTATTTCTTTTTACATAATACAATACATATCGTATACTTCAAATATATTTTTTGATTAATAAATATTTGAAAAGCATAAAACATTAAATTTTATATCATCGTGTACTTTATACAACTTGCAATGATACTTACTTCACCATAAAAGTAACTAAATACCATATTTGCGAACAAAACACATATGTAGAGAATATATAGATAAAAATATGCAAAAAGTATATCGTGGTTGACCACTTTTCCAGAAAACTACTTTTTAATAAAAAAAATTTAATATTGCAGATAATATTTTTAATGTAAAATAAGACTTTTCTTAAAATTTCACCATAAAATTCCAAGTTTGAACTTGCCTGGTACTTAATGGGCTAATAAGTAATATACATAAAGCGAAATGTCTTCAGCAAAAGAGCAATAAAACAAGAATGCAATGGTTTATGATGTTGAATGAAGGTAAAATATATAACATCAATATCAAATATATAGCATTGCTTTTCAAGGCAAATCTTATAATGACAATGGACACTTTTAAAGAGTTGTGCGATTTGGTCAAAAATATAAAAAAGAAAATTCTGATTTTTGCAGAATAATTTCAATAGAAAAGAGAGATGCGATTGCAGTGTACGCACTAGGCTCATCCGCAGAGAGCAGAACTGTGAGCAATCTTTTCGAAGTGTCAAAGTTATCTGAAACGTTTTGCACTGAAAAGTGGAAAATAATGCAGCCATGATTAAAGCAGTACCCTTTAAATGAAGAAACAATTTGTGATTGCATCAGTGGTCTTAATATATTAGGATTCCCATAATGTATCAGTGCTATAAGTCAGCCAATATCTAATATGCAAGTAAGTGTGTAAATTCTTTTGTTTCAGATAGTTATCACATTAAAATGCGTCTTCGAAAGTCAGAAGTCAACTACAAAGGTTTATATTCTATAGTACTTCTGGCAGCTGTAGACTATAGGTAGTGATTTCAAATTTATAAATTGAAACCATGCATTCACTCAATAACATCCTCTATATTAAAGATATCGATTTATGTATATTAACATTAGTTGCCCTAATCGTTGCAACGATTCTCATATAATTGAGAATTCCAAATTGAAACAACATTATACGAACCTGATTATAAATGAATTTTGTGCTGAAATAAATGCAACCACCAAATATTTGTTTACATTTTTGTTTGTAAATATGTCAAAAACAGCTTTGTCAAAATCCCATAAAAACTTTTATTTCGGGTATGTTCAATGTATTCATTTGCATCTGGAACGTATTTGGAACTCATTTGAAACTTATTGGAACTTCTACAAAATCAGTCATTTGCGCATATGAGATTTTTTATGCAGAAACTAATTATTTGCAATTTTTGATCCAAATCAGTCATTTGGGATCAGTGTAAATGTATTATTAGTTTTAGTAAGGGTAGACTATTATATTGAAGATATTTTTTATTTTTTTGCTTTTGGATTCGGGTATAATTGTTAGCTGATTGAGAGCCTTCGTATTAACTTGCTCTCAATTTAAAATAAAAAACAAATAATGTACAAATTCAACTAAATCATATTGCTTTACAAATGCGTTTTTGATAACAATAAAGCAATATTAACAAAAAAAAAAATAACATGCCAAGAAAGTACAGCGAAAATCGATATTAGGGAAAGCTGCATTTTCTCGTTAATATTGTTCAATGTACAGGCCAAATACATTATGCGGCTTGTGTTCGGATTTCAGGAATGTGTGTTTTTATTGGGTGAGAAAAACCCGGTACAAATACGCTACTGATGTGAAAATGATTAACTTACATACGACGTTACATTTTTGAAATCTCACAAAAGGAATTAGCCGGTTAATTTATAACTAACTAAATGTTTCGTCGATTGCAGGCTATAATGCAGTTAACAGAGTCGAGTTATTAGACACCCACATCACAAACACAGCCGATAGTTTTAAAGAAATTTCAAGGAAATCTGTAACTATAAAATTTGTAAAACTATGTAAAGATAGAATTATTTTAAAAGTTCCTAATTGCTACAAGTTCCTATGCAGCTAAAACGTTAGTTATCATAAAATTATAACAATAGAAGATTGAAGCTTTTGGGATGTAGATGTATAGAAGAATGACAGTAATGAGAAACAAAACGCCAAAAATAAAGTTATGAAAACATTCTGCAATCCATGTTAGCACATAAAATGGATGCTGTGAAATAAGATATTCTGAATTGCTTATTAAGCAAACCTACTTTACACTTCTTGGTTCTGTAATAATAATGAAGGCCAATAAATATTATTATGCGCTGTTATATTCATAATAATTGTGTTATTTAATTTTGTGAAATAAGTTTATTATAAATTGCTCAAGTAAACCTATCTTGTAATTGTAATACAGGTCAATGAATTATGTTATATTAAATTAAAAATTTGTATCAATAATCAATCAATAATTGTAATAAATAATTAATAAAGAGTTCAATTCCAATCAACCGATCAAACAAGTGTCATTATTTTTTTAGGTTTCAGCGACGCTGAGGTATAACTTCCATATCTTTTATACATAGATACATTTTTATCAAAATATGAGATATTAATATAAATAAAACTAACATAAAAACGGGGGTCTCTATATATTATATTTCTAAAACAGAAATTTGATTTTGTTCTTGTAACGATTAGTTTTATACCACTTATATTATTAACACTATAATTGCCCTGAAATGACTCTAGCCAATTTTCACGGTTTACATACATATACACAATACGTTATCTTAAAATAAAGATACATTTTATATTATATTTTATTTTAACATTAAAATATCTATCTATAATAGCATATTGAATTATGTATATATACATAAATAATGATTGCCATGATTGCTTTCAAAATATCGAAAGCTTCTGAGTTACACATCTCTTAAAATACAAAACTTTTGTCCTCTTGATGGTATCAGCGTCTGCGTAGAAAATAAAGAAGACAAACATATGTGTTTTACCAAAGCAAATTTTAAGTGTTACGTTTTTAATTCTGATTTCATATCCTATAACAATAAAAAGTAAAATTTGTGAAAAATCAATGTAATTTGTATAATGATATAATGTTCAATATTAGGTATTAAAGAAAAATACTCCTATGTGTTCTAGGTAAGCGTTCAAAACATACCTAATCAATTTTATGACACTTTAATTGGGTAAAATTTTTTTCAAAGTTATGCCAATAACGAAAGCAAATTGAAAATGTTATGTTATATACAAAATGACAAATGGTTAAGTAAATATGGCACTTTGAAGCCGTATGTGTGTGTATGGTTTAATTACTTAAATGTAAAGTTAAAGATACGCAAGAATATTAAAATTGTATAAAAGATTCGAACATATACATATAAATATCTGTTTTATTTTTAAATTGTGCAAGCATGTGTTACCTTTTGTTACAATGCTTTAGAAACACATAATCGTTTATGGAAATACATATATTTTATTACTTTTATAAGTATAAAAACGAACACTGAAAACAAGCCATTTATAGTTTATTCTGAACAATTAAATATTATAAAAAAACCAATATTTTTAGTGGAGCTTTAGTAATTAAATACCCAAAACAATTATTTTATTATGTTTATGTGTATGGTTATTTGGTCGACATACGTTTACATTTAGTTGTTTTAAATTTGATCTTTTATGGTTTAATTATTAATTTTGTGGCTATTAACATTCCTAATGTAGTACATTATGAATGTGAATAATATTGCTTCAGTTGTTTTTAGTAGTGACAAAAAGTTTTTGCCAAAAACAAGGGTTGTAATTGATATTTATTCGAAAATGAAAAATTTCTCAATTCTCTTAGCATAACACATCTAACTTTGCCGTCAATATTTCTAATATTATCTATTTAACCTCCTCCTTGGCACTATTTATATTTGTTAATATTTCCCTTATTAAATTACTAATTAATGATTCTGAGTTTCTTTATTATTTTTGTGATTCCGACTTCAGCTCTTCATTTTTAAATCTGAAATCTAAAATATTGAAGTTATCTAAGAAAATTTTTGTACATTTATTTAACTTTTTATAACGTCAGCATTATATTGAAAAAAGGGACTACTTTGTTTGTATTGCAAAAACCTCTTATAAAAAATAAAAATTTAATTATTAACTATACAAAGTAACAAATACAATCTCGTTGCACTTTATTCAGACCAAATCAGGTCCTCAACATAATGAGTAGCGTAGTTTCGCGGCAATGAGCGCGGTTTTTTTGTCGATGCGCAAATTTCATAAGCTAGAATAATTTTATTTCATTTAGGAAATCTATTTTATATGACTGTGCAACAAAAGCCAAGTCATCATACCTAAATGATAACTCTCGGTGTTCACTTTATAATTGAGATAGCATTGTCACGTTTTTTTTGTTAAATACTTATTGAATACAACTTTTTTTAATGTTAATAAAAAGAAGACTATATACACTTTTATATATACTTTATTATAATTTCAAAAAAATTTTTACATCAAACAGTAGCTATAGTCTTAAGTAACGATATCATTTAACTTAAAAGTTAAGATGCTGTTTTTTACAGAAGCCTGTTCAGATTTGGCAAATCAATGTCATCAATCGTGTATTAACGTAGTCGACCACTAAGTACATGATTAAGAGAAGGGGCCTTTGTTCTTAATAAAAATTAAGCCGCCCAAATTATATGCATAGTTGCTATTTGCAGCATTAACAATAATGATTTATATACGCATTAAGGATAATAGAGTAATTAAGTGAGAAATATTTATTAATTATTAAAGAAAAGTTAGGTGAAAAAATAAAAATTAAAGTGAAAACTTCATGGAAGAATACCTTATGATCAAAAAAAAACGAGAATTTAAAAAAATGCAAAATTTTAATTTTTTATGGTTTCCTTATTATCGCCTTCAAAGTACTCTCCTTCTGCGGCAATACATGCATGCCAATGCTTGATCCAATTTTCCATAGAAGTTTTATAGGCCGCCGAAGGTATGACCTTTATTCCACGCAGCGAATTCTCTTTTATGGCCTCTATGGTCTCAAAATGCGTTCCTCGCAATGGCAATTTAAGTCAGGGGTAGAGGAAAAAGACACACGGGACCAGAGGCGAATGGCCTCTTGCAAACGACACATAACAGCCAAATAATACTTCTTATTGACCGTTTGACCGTCCGGAAGGAATTCATAATGCACCACACCACGAATATCGAAGAAAACTGTCAGCATAACCTTGATTTTGGACCGACTTTGGCGTTCTCTTTTCGGTTTCGGCTCACCTTCGAAGCACTATTCGGTCGATTGTTGTTTGGTGGGCATGTCAAATTCATACACCCATGTCTCATCACCAGTTATGATGCGTTCGATGAATGTGGGGTCACTATCTGCGTTGAAAATCATCTCTTTGGCCACATCATAATGATGTGAATGAAATTCAGCTTTTTTGACACCAGCCGAGAAGCGACGCGTTTCAAACCCAAAACATCAGTTAAAATTTGTTCGGCCGATCCATATGAGATGCCCAACAACACTGCAATCTCTCTAATCGGTTCACAACGATTTTTCAACACGATCTGCTTCGCCGATTCAATGTTTTCTTCAATAACAGAAGTTGTTGGGCGGCCAGGGATCTCATCATGGTCCACGCTTGTACGACCGTCTTTAAACCTTTTAAACCATTCGTGTACTTGTGGTTGCGACACACACAAATCACCAAAGGCCATTTTTTAACAGTTTTGGCACACTTAAATCCATTTACAACACAAAATTTGATGAACGCACATTGTTCTAATTTTTGATCCATTATAAAAATCGCCACACGAAAATTTTTCGACTTTTTGGATAGACGCCAAACAAAAACTAATCGTACGATATGCGTTAAATTTTGACAAAATGTGTATAATAGTTATCTTTGTAAATCCAACTGTGGTATATCTTTGCTGTTTCCGTAATTCCCTGTAACTCGATTATACTATTCTATTGTTAAATATAAATTAAGATGTAATATTTTGAACTGCAGGTGATCGCATTTTAAATTTTTCATATGCATGTAGATATCTATCGAACCACTGTACTGCAACTAATTCCTAAGTCCATGGTAATTGTATTATTTATTTTGCCTTCCTATTTGCTAAAAATAATTATCCAAACAGATCAAATAACCTACCACTGTCACATAAGGTTTGGTGTCATTATTATTAGTAAGAACCAATTGATTTTTGGTTCTTTGAAGAATTGTGGTCGGATTGAAGTCGTGTTGTTTTTATACTGTTTTGCTTTGTCCGTACTATGTTATAATTAATTACTTTTTTGGATTCTGCTGTTCACATTTTTTACTTTCATAACGTTTATGATATTTAACTCAGCCTTTAAGCGTATTTTGTGTGCTGAACTCTCATATGGAAACATCGAGAGTTCACGAAATACAATATACAGATACTGTAGAGTACCTTCTGCTCAAAAAGTACTCGGATTTTGTAAATAAAACACACAAATTTTAATTTTATTCCAAATTTATTATATCTCCTTCAAAATATGCTTCTTTTGAAGCGAAACACATATGCCAACGCTTAACCCAATCTTCCATACACTTTTCGTAGGCCCGTGCAGGCTTTTAGTTCCTTCAGCGAATTCTCTTTTACCGATTCAATCGACTCAAAACGCTTACCACGAAGGGGTAGTTTGAGTTTCGGGAACAGGAAAAAGTCACACGGATCTAGATCTGGTGAATATGGTGAGCGATGATAGTGGTGCCGTATTTGGTCAAAAAATCGCGTACAACAGGAATTTTTCATAGTAAAAATCGCTAAATGCACTTCAGGTAGTTTGCTCATTAACAGCTGCTGTGAACAACCTAATTGACCCTCAAATTTGTACCATATGTCAAGAAAGGGTGTACCAACATAACAAAAAAAAAATTTTGAAAAAGGTCCATTACTTAAGGAGTAGTTAACAAACAACAAAATCCGGATACTTTCTGAGCAGAAGGTATCTTAAGTACTCTTAAGATGTTAATTGTTACCCAGAGAAATAAATATGCCAATTTTTCAAAAGCATTTTAGAAATATTCGCATACATATTAAACATTTATTTAAAGGATGGTTTTCTATTGTACTAATTATCCTCTCATAGGAATATTATCAATAGACTAAAAAAATAAAACCGTAGAAAAATACTCATTAAAATTATATACCTTTTGCAAAAATTACCAACCTAAAATTAGATGCGCTATTAAGTTCCATATAATCAATTCTTATTTGTTTTCACTGAGAATAATGTTTAGAATAATTAAACCCAATAAAATTCTCTTTAAAATTAATACAATAACAATACATAATTATAATATTGATTCAAATGTTAAACAAATAGTTCAAATGATTAAATTTTTGAAATTAACATAAATATAATTTCATAAAATAGTTGAATATAAATAACGTGTACATAGCATATAAATCTTGCAAGCGCAAAAGCAATTTTTAATTTAAAGATCTTGTCAAATTATTGATTAATTTTATTATTCACTGTTACAATTTCATTAATAACTAAATTACTTTAATTGATAAAATTGCCAATGCACATAGTCTTTCTTGACTCATCGTACTTCGCAAATAGGTCTTAATCAATTTTAGCTTTGAGAAGCTCCTTATGCAGAAGCTGTTCTGACTGGAACTGTAAGCATGATTCTGGTTACTATATAAACATTAGGATATACTTCCTCTAAATTATTTTCTTTAATGTACCGGACGAGTTGCTTTATATCGTTGATAAAGTCTAGTGAATTCGATTTTAAAAGTAACAGTTCCTCATACAGTTCAAAAGGCTGAATGTCGCAGTTGTCACCTTCCCGAAGTATTATACCCAAAGCATTACAATACTTGAGAAGATCTTCGTTTGGTATACTTTTTATATGATTGTCATATATGAAACCAAAATGTTCAAAATATCCATTAAGTGCTTTAAATCGAATTAAATTAAGAGCTTAGGCCCAAGTGAACTGACTGTACAGATTGTGTTTGGTTGTTTGGAGTGTCTGTTGGCACCTTATCTACCTTCTCTTTGTGAACATTTTAGTTATGTTCACTGGCTCAATCTGTAGTCCTTATATTAATACTTCTTATATTGTCCTTTAAGTATTAAACTTCTGAGATGGGCCTATTTGCCATTTGTTCGAGAATATCCTCAGTCTTTTAGTATATTTAAAGTTGAATATCCCTGATCCACCTTTTGAAATATTTTCAACGCCTTGCCTTTAATGTATTTCTTAACGGTTTCTATTTTTAGATTCTTATGTATGTCCGTGTTCGTGATATATGAGGGGATGTTGAGTATTCGTCTTATTGCCAGATTTTGTGCTATTTGTAGTTGGGCTATGATACTGTTTGATGCTTTTCCACACGTCACACATTCGTATAGTAGATTGAATCTTATTATCCGCTTGTTGATTATCAACTTATTTTTGATGTTTACGTTTTTCTTCACCAATGGTTTTAATGGTTTAATAGTCCAATGCAAATCATTTTTTCCCGTATGTGTGGCTTCCACTAAATGAGTGTAGGTGATAGGGATGGTGCTTGAGAAGCTCTTGCCTCTATATTCCTTGTTGATAAGAAGTAATTATCTAGTTTAACTGTGACTTTCCTATTTTGGAGGAAACTTTCGATGATCTTAATTAAATCCAGTGGAATTTTTTATCCCTGAATTTTGACTATTAATTTGGCATGTCATCACCATTCTTGTTGATTTCTGTTAGCTTAATGTAGTCAGGACATTTTGTGACACTCTTGCTATCTGTAGATCGGTAGACTGATTTTCTTTAAATCCGTATTGCTCTGGAGAAATTAAATTTTTCTCTTCGACTGTGTGTTTCTGTCTGGAAGGAATCTTTTTTCTGCTATTTTCGCTATAGCTGATAACAGGCAATTTTGTGGAAAAATTATGTTTTCCCCATGTTTTGGTAGCACAATATTCGATGAGTTTTTCCAAGTATTTGGAAAATTTCCTTAGTGAAGTGTAGTATTTATGATATTTGTGATCATGCTTATTACTGTATCTGACAAATTCTTTACACATTTGTTAGTGATGCTCTTGAGATTACCTATGATCTGATGTATCTCCCCTGGATCTGTTGGTCTTAGGTTGTGATCATGTTCTCTGGATAGAATCTCTTCTGCTTGTTTTTAGATTTCTTCTTCCCTTTCCACATCATCGTCAGGGTTCGTGTTCTGCATGAATTGCAGCTGAAGTGATCTTGCAAATGCTTTGTCTTCTGTCTTAAATTTTATTCCTTCTTTTTCGTATATTTGTTGAGACCCCAAAAAGATTTGTCTCCTATTTTTTGACTCTCCATAAATTTCTCCCATTTTTTATTGTGAAATTGGTCAATGTTTTTTCTTATTAAATTGGTGAGTCGAATTTAATTTAATAACTATTGCAACCATTTTACAAATTGGTGCAGAAGGTTGATTAAGTCTGTTTCGATATAGATATAACTGGCATTTACCCCGAATCCTCAAGAACCTGTTTGTAAAGTGAAAGTATTATTCATTTTAAGCTTTGAAATTTCTTAAGCATTCTTTCTACAAAAATCAGATTGAAATTCATTTAATTTATTATTATGTCCGACTCTTTCCGAAGGTTTTTCATTTATAATTTCCATTAGAATCTTTACAACATTCTTTATCAAAGAGATTTCCCTATAGTTCTCAGGTTGGTTAAGACTCTTATTTGTATGCAGGTAAAACCACATTTCTTATAAAAGCGTCTTCTATGTGATCATTGTTTCACATTCTGTTATATATGGTTACAAATTCATCAAGAAATAAATATAAATTATTTATTATAAATAATAAATTAAAATGAAGTTAATTTTTAATTTTCTCGATACTAACGAACATCAAATTCGTTATCAGTGTTCAGATTTGGAATATATGATAGGTTTTCTCGCCTTTTCTCTTGAGCTTATCAGTGACTGGAAGTAGCTTCACTTTAAGCTGTAAGGTCTGCTTCTGTATGTAGGGGTTCGCCTCCAATTTCTTTTGTTATTTACCGCCATAATTTTGATTTCGATATGTGATTGATGCCATTTTCTAATTTAAGATAGTAGTTCATTTTTTATTTTTGATAAATTGTCATCAAATGTTTTTGCGTTTAAATAGTATATCTTTTCTAATTGGTTATTTGTTTTTCTAAATAATTTGGATTTTTATAAAGCAACATCTCCTATACGTTTTCACAGCTATACCAAATAATTTTGTGATATTACGTTTACTGTCATTTGCCAGTTTTATAATCTCACACATGTCATATATATTTAGCACAACATTATTTTGTTATGTATTACATATATTTTCGTCTTTTCAAAACATTGTATATTAAATTTTAACGAAATCGATTCGATTTTAAAAGGTTTCTTTTCTATATAAAAACTTGTTAGCTTTATCCAAAATTGTAGTCGATCTAATGAGTATTTTGCACCAGTATAGAACTTAACTAAATAGCTTAACCAATACCAAATTTAACAAATATCTACAAAAGTATTAAAAAAATATTTCTATATTTCTATAAAAATATTTTGTTAAATTTAATTTTGAACAAATAAAAATCAGGGACCGTAACAGTTATCATAAAAAAAATAAAAATCATCTTATAACTGTTAACATTTGCATTTTAAAATAAAACTCAAAAAATAATAATTAAATTTGATTTTTATTATATTCATCAAAAATAATTATTATTATATGCCGCAGAATTTGCACGATACTCTTGATTTTTATATTATATAACGCAAGTATACCAGTTATTTGTGAGTTTTAAAATAAGAAGCAAATTTTAAGAGTTATTTCTGCGCGAAAAAATAAAAGGCATATAATAATAAGTATTTTTGATGAATATAATAAAAGTCAAATTTAATTATTATTTTTTGATTTTTATTTTAAAACGCTTATATATAAAAAGCATTCATAATATTAAGGATAAAAGTTGTTAGAATGATAACTATTTACTTAAATAAGAGTTTAGACAGCTTTTTGTTGCTGCTTTTTTCCATAAAAAATTTTAAAATAACTGTTATTTTCCGTCCCTGATAAAAATAGATTGCTGTTGTAATATATTACTATATCGTTTTGTTTTTAATTTAGAAAAAAATATCTTTATACATATATTATTCATTTGGAAATGTTGTAATTAAATTAGTTCGATAAACTATGCATTAAACCAATGCTATAAATATTTTTTTCATCTTTTTTTGTATACAGGTTAATACTAGTGCTGTTCATATTCGAATTAACGAAGTATTCGAAGAATTCGAATATTCGAATAGTAAACGAAGTCTTCGAAGTTGGAAAAAACTTCGAAGTTTTTGTGAATTTTTGTTCTTGAAGTCTTCGAAGTTTAAATGTAGTGAAAAACTTCGAAGACTTCGAAGACTTCGTAAGCAAAAGGTGAAGTGAGAGCGCAAAATGCAAACAAACGTGCATCACACAAATTATTTGAGAGATGAAAGCATTTGCTTCGTTTGTACGGTTTTATGTTTTTTTTTTTTTGCTGTTCTATGCAGAAAATTAAAAACATGTTTCTTGTTTTATTTTATGACATAAAATTTATTTTATTATTAAATATGTATTATAATATATATTATTATTAAATATGTTATTATTAAATATTATTTATATTAAATAAAAAATTTACATTTTAAATAACTTATATTTATTATTTATATTTAAGAAATCATATTTGAGAAAATTTTTAATATAATATAAAATATATACGTAATAATATGTAAAAATTGATATTGATGGATTTTATTAGTAAAAGAAATTTTATAAAAGTTTTCATTTTTCTTTTAAAAAAAATCACAAATTAAAACTTTGAAAATTAGTTATGAAAAAATGAGTTTTGCTCATTAATGCATAATTATTTGACATGTATGAGCTGTGATGATCACACAGGTAAGCACAAATTTATTTTTTGCATAATAAAAAAATAATTTTTGATTTTTTTATTGTAAATATAATTTTTTAAATATAAATAATAAATATAAGTTATTTAAAATGTAAATTTTTTATTTTATATAAATAATATTTAATAATAACATATTTAATAATAATATATATTATAATACATATTTAATAATAAAATCAGTTTTATGTAATAAAGTTTTTTCCAACTTCGAAGACTTCGTTGAAATGCGAATATTCGAAGAACTTCGAATTTTTAAAAACTTCGAATAATGTGAACAGCACTAGGTAATACATCCTGTATGCAGGTTAATTGCAAGCCTGTTGGTTGTCTAGTGCCTAAAAGTGACAATAGTTTGCTGTTATGGCACCAAGAAAATGTAAGAAGGCTTTTACCCAACCCGATATTTAATTCGTTGCATTGTGATCACATCCGTTGGAATTTTGTTGCTTAACTAAGTCGAATTCCTGTTTTTCTTAATCTTACGAAAAGGTTAAAAATAGACCGAGAATATAAAGGCTCTTTATAAATTCTATTAAAATTGTCGCGACTTTCAGTTGATCTGTTTTATATCAATCGAATTTAAAATACATAAAACCATTCAATATTAATAAACGGGTATTTATGGGAATTTGTTTTTTAGATAAATGTATGAAGAGATTATTTCCTCATTAGTTATGCAAAAGTTGTGGAATGGCAGTCCAAAGCTGGAGAATCTGTGGAATTTCGGCTTCTGTTTTAATATATATCGGAGGAATAATTTTTCTTTCCATGAATAACATACCAAGTAATCACCGGAAAAGAATGCGGATCGAACGATTTCCTGAAGTAATTTCATACTTTAAAGTTCATATTCATTATTATTTTTTAAGTGCTTTAATAAAATTATTTTATAGTTCTCAAATTTTCTGCATCGAAAATATACAGGTGCAAATAGAAAAATGACTATTCGCTGGTGCACAGAACTTTCTTTTCAAAACACAAATCTTCCCACTAAAATTATGGATCCGACGTTGGAATTAAGTTGTAGGTAGAAATTTTGGATGAATTTCTTATAAAATTTTATTTTAAAATATAGTATTTAACCACGTAAATACTTGTATGTATTAATTTTAATTTTAATATTAATAATTCACAAATCAATAATTAAAAACATAGAACAAGAAATAAAAAATATTTATGTTAAATTTGAATTGATTTTTATCTAATTATTAATGACTATGCTATAAATTGGTATCATAGCTTCCATAGATACTGATACATTGCCTAAAGACGAATTATCTGGATTAACAGCATTAGCTTCCTTTCCTGGCAGTGGAAATACTTGGTTAAGATATTTGATACAGCAATCCACAGGTAATTAATCTTATTAAAATTTTCTAATATACATAGCCATTGAAATTGATTTTTTAAGGTATACTAACCGGAAGTATTTACAAAGATTATGGTCTTTTAAAAACTGGTTTTCCTGCCGAAAGTGTTTGTAACAGATCAGTCCTATTAGTTAAAACTCACGAATGGGGGCCAAATGCTTGGAAACCATTTTCAAAAGCAATATTGCTGGTAAGAGATCCGGAAAAAGCTATATTAGCTGAATTTAATCGACAAAGTGGTGGTCATATTGGATTTGCATCACCTGATAGATATAAGAGAACGAAAGGAAAATGTAAGTCAATGCTTATCTGTATCAATGAATTTAGACAAAAAAGAGATTATTTTTTTCATTTATATAGAAGTATATATATAAACATACGAGTATATGAATTATATTAATACACTATAATAAACTTGTTAGCCTTTACTTTCTCAAACCAAACAAATTAATTGAGTTAAGTATTATGTTATCATTAAGTTGTAAAATTGTAAAATAAAATTGTAAAATTGCAACCCTTACACTCCTGGGTTCATAACGACTCTAGTTAAATACAAAGTTAGTTGAGTAGTAGCTAAATCTCGCTGGCAATTGTAGTGTTTTTATTTTTTGTATCTTTAGAGTTAATTTTTTAATAAAAACACGAACAATTTATTGCTTATATTTATATCGCCACGATCTTTACGTTGCTTAAAAAGGGTTGAAGATCTTTAATAATTTTTGAAAATATATATCAAAATTAGCGCATAATGTAAAATATATCTGAACACATTTTCGTAAGAAAAGTAGATTTGTAACCAAACGTCACATTAATATATAGGGTATTCTTAAAGCCTCCTATATTTACAATCCTGACTATAGAGATTCTAGTATTTTGAAAAGGCATTGGGTCAGCTGGATTATTTTTATCTATTTCCACTTAACAAACAATACACACACTAGAGTGAAACGAAATAAAGAAAAAGCTCCCATGCGCGTCTGCTCATTGCTTTGACAAAACCATATAGGTAAAACTCTAATAATTTTAGCACCAACATATCTTCTAGTGCATGCGTACAGAGATAGTTCAAAACGAAAATTTTTTTTTTAATTGGACAGACAGAGAGTAATAGAAGCTTTTCGACTTTTGTTTGTTATTCCACCCTTACTAAATGCCTTAGTGCAAGGATATGTGAGGCAATATTTTGTACGCAACACTCGAGTCATAGTCGTGTATTGGTTGCACTCTACTTATACTTACTCTGAGGCTCTTTTTCGTTTAATTAACTACACTGGACTTATACATTAAACTGAAAGTACTTACACTCTCGAATGATCTACTTATACTTACTCTGAGGCTCTTTTTCGTTTAATTAACTACACTGGACTTATACATTAAACTGAAAGTACTTACACTCTCGAATGATTTACTTATACTTACTCTGAGGCTCTTTTTCGTTTAATTAACTACACTGGACTTATACATTAAACTGAAAGTACTTACACTCTCGAATGATCTACTTACATATACTTACTCTGAGGCTCTTTTTCGTTTAATTAACTACACTGGACTTATACATTAAACTGAAAGTACTTACACTCTCGAATGATACCCTTTAATACTCTTTACATATATGATGCAAGTGATTTATGAGTCATTCATTCTGACAAAATAGAAAGAGTTGTGTATTTTTTAGTTAACTGTTGCTATTATTACTCGATTGCAATTGTATTGTTTATTATTTGGTATGTATTCAGAGTCTATAAATGATAGTATTGTAGCTGTATCATAAAATAAATTCTAATGGGAAAATAAATGGAAATTATTTTGGGTTTATATATCCTGTTGGCTTTTAGCTAGTACAATTCTGTACAGTATACACAGCTAGTATAAGCTGTTTGCTAGTATGAAAATATATTTTGCTTTTCTTCTTATTTTATTAAGTTATTGGTGTCATTTTAAAGTGCTAGTTATATTTTCTGGTTTGTTAAAGTTGAAATTTCTTTTATTAAAAGTTTTTGTAATTAAGCTTTGGCCGCTTGCTTTAATTACTAAAAACCTCTCTACTGGTACTTGTTTTTATTTCGTCGGGTTGGTGTTACTTTTTATCTTATGGCGTCCATTGTATTGAATTTTTAATTCTATAGGTGATGTTAGTTATATGGTTAGGATTTTCGTATTTGGGTGAGGTTGTTGTCTGCTTGAGTAATAGTGATACCTTTTATTATAGCGCTTAATGTACTGTTAAGATCTGTATGAAGTTTCACTTCTTTGAAAATCTGTTTTTGTAAGAGGTTTTGCTTCTGAATACAGTTGCCAAATGCTGTTGTAAGTGTAACAGGTTACGTTGTTCTGATTCTAGACCGTAAAGGTTTTTTTAATATCCCAATAAATGTATATAAGCTTATCTCAAAAAACAATTTTTGCTTTGTAACATTGTGATCGATTTTCTATGTTAGAATAGTATTATAGAGAGAAGAGTGAATTGCAATTACTTCGCTATAGCAAAGTTTTTAAATGTACTTTATCATTCTTTTGTAGTCTTAGGTTAATTGCACTATTGACAGTCAAAGTATTTTTAAGATTAGTATTTACTGGAGTTTCATGTGGTGTCTAAGTTTCAGTACAGCATTTAACATTTTTATTTTGCTTTAAATTTCTGGATTATATTATTTAATTTTTAGTTGATAAAGGTCTCATCAAGTCGAGTCTAGTCCTAATTATTCTACCTAAGAAAATCAAAGCTAGAGATTCTTTAGTAGAGTGATGTGTAGCATAAAGAGAATAGTATATAAACAACCCATGGATTGATGGACATGTTTTATTTTGTTTTATTTGTGGTAAAATTTTTAAATTCTTGTGACATGTGTTGCCTTCCATTATCACTCCAAAGGCATTCACAACAAACTGTTAAAATTGTTGCCAAGTAAATAATATATGTATGGATTAGTTCATGCTGTTGAAACGAAAGATTTGCAAACATCAGTTGTAAGTACACCTATACCTCGCTTAACGGCCTTATATTATTATTATAAAATAGGCTATGAATGCACCCCGTCTTAAAAGATCTATTGTGCGCCTAAAGGCCCAACTAAAACTCTAGACTACAAAAATTCTAGACTATTTATAAATCTTGTAATTTTACCTATTTGATTTGGGACTAAGATCCCGCATCCAAGGTAATCGAGTCTACATCTTGCCGCCGGTGGGCAGTTGCATAGAATATGTTCTGATGTTTCCTTCTCCTCATGACAGAGGCGACAGGAGTCACTTTCTACCGCACCTATAATCTTCATGTGGTAATTCATTCTACAGTGTCCAGTAAGAAGTTCAGTGTAGATTTTAATATCATTTCTGCTAAGGCTAAGGATAGCGTCAACTTTGATGTGTTCAGAATCATTGAATCGTCTTGACTGTCTCATGCCTGTTTGGGCATGAGACAGTGTAAAGTAGATGTTGTTTCTCCCGTTCGCACAATAAGTTATTTGTGAAGTTCCGCAGAGCCGCAGAACGGCCCTGGACCAATGAAAGCAGTACTTGAATCCTTTTTTGCTATTGAGTCTGATATTTTATTGACTTCATGCCCTTCATGTCTCGGTACCCACATAAGAATAACATAGTTCATCGATGCTAGGGTATTGAGAACTTGAAAGCATTCCCAGATCAATTTTGATTGGAATGAAAATTTTGCTAAAGAATTTGGAGTTGCTGGGCTGTTCGAAAGAATGCATATTTTGGTACCCCTCGCACATAGCTCTAAGGCATGAACCTTTGTCTGAAAAATAGAAGCGGTTTTTCCCATTGCTATTGCTTTGCAGAAATTCGCTTCTATAATTCCTGCTCCTACACTGACATCCTTTATTTTGGACAAACCATAATTGAGAGCCCTGATTTAAGATAATTTCATTGTTTCTCCAAGTTGATCGGTCACTGATGACTACTTCAAATTCCCTGCAGAAAGCCAATCTTCTATTCATCTTATCAAAGACCTTAAGACCCGGAGAATTCCAGACCTCATCTAGAATCTATGCGTATCCTGTTAGATTGGCCACTTTAAGATAACTGTTGTGTTTGTCTTGTTGTAATTGTTAACGCTATCATGAAACCTGTATATGGCACGGTGGCTAGCCCGGTATGCTTGCCGGTGGGAAGGTTCTTGGTAGCTGAGAGGTCGCTATAGACATCAACAAAAAAAAATCGTGCCATACCTTTGGTTTTTTGTTTTATTGAGTTAAAATTTATTAAATATATTAGTACTAAGATAATCTTATTATTATGTTCACAATTTTTTTCTTTATCTTTAACAAAAACAAAATGAACTATGTATATAAAACTACAACAATTCTTTTTTTTTTCTCTGGTGTGCAAATCAACAAAAATTAAAGTAATACAATATTAATACAAAATTATTCTTTTCTTTTATAAAAAAAAAAACAAAATGTAGCAAGTTCTTAGATTATAGATACATAAAGATATAAATAAAATAATTCATAATTATAACAAATGTGTACAGCAAAACTGTTTTCTTGTTTTAAATTTATAAGTTAAAAACAATTATTGTTACAACTTTAAGTTTTAGTATTTTAATTGTTTTCTTTTCTTTCTTGCTAGGATAACCATAAAAAAGTCCAATAATGCCATGAAAAAAATAGAAAAAAATTATTTATATAAAAAATAATAAAACAATCGTGTGGCGAAGAAGGCATTGAAATCTAAGCAAAGATGGAAATGAAAGCAAGACAAGAAGAAAAGAAGAAGTAAAAATAAAAATTTGATAAGCTTGAAAAACTTAAAGTAAAAGAAGCAAAAAATAGAAGTTTGAGAAGATTGATAAATTTGATAAGTTTGCAAAGTTCAAGTTAAACATGCAAGGGTCCAGGGTTCAAGTCCCTACTCGGGCGCCAACTGTATCGACTCTTTCTTGGGGTCGTTTCGATTTGCTGGGGTGTCCTCAGCCTTTCCAGAATCATTACAATAAATTTTATTTGTAACCCAAATATTCATAATTATAATTCCTTTTAAGTTTATTTTATTTAAATATTTTTATTAAGTAAAGTTCATTAAGTATAGTTAATTACAATTTAATACAGAATATTTATGTAGGAAAATTTAGAACAGAAAAGTGTATTTAAAAGAATTTGCTTATGACGGTAGAGATCTCCTAGATGTCTTTGATAAGAATTCTTTGTAGGAGCTTGCTTGCTTTCTTCCAGGATCCTTCTTCTGTACTATCTATAGAAATGTTATGAGAATTGAATTGGTTAGTGAATATGTAATAGGGAATTACTTTAGACTCAGTCGACGTTATACCGCC